ATTTCATTTTCCCTATTGGCTGTCATCCCTTCCCACTAACATCACTGATGGACTTTTTGTAAACTTTAAAAAAGCGGTGGCCTATATTAACATAGTATTATTACACTATACTGCTATAGCTACTGTTGCTCTTTTTAAAGCAGACAAGCAACCCTCTTGCGGCAGAGGAAGGTGTATGAAATATTAGGCAAGGGGGGATGTGGAGGGAAAGCGCAGTGAATGTCCCTGTATGGGCGCTCCATTGCCAATGTAGAATGCGGAGGTATTTGAAGCAGCAGTGAATATACTGTGGAGGGTTGTCACCATTTGGAAGCAACCAAAGATTTGCTGCTACCTTCTTTGGTGCTGGTTCATTGTTGGTGCTTTTTACGTCTTGTGAAATGCTTTTTGGGAGCCTTGGCTGGGCAGATTGAGTAAAAAGATAAGCATCAATGAATGCCGCTAACAAGATGGATATTAGGAGACTTGATCAAGTTGGGTAGCCATGTTAGTCTGTCTGTAACAGTAGAAAAGAGCAAGATTCCACTTAAAGACTAAGAAAATCTGTGACAGGGCACTGCAGTGACACGAAAGCTCATACCCTGCCACATATTTTGTTAGTCTTTAAGGTGCTCATGGAACCTTGCTCTTTTCTGTTAGGAGACTTGTTCACCTCTTGATGAAAGTGGATTAAATATGTAGGAAGTCCATTGCCATCCCATGTCCTGGTCAGGTTTTTTTAAAAAGGGTCTGGGAAAATGATGAGGGAGGAGATGCCAACCTTATATGGCTACCTCACATACAGCTGTGGGACTAGGCAGTCATCTCCCCCACCCTATTAAAAAGTGTTAAGTGCCTTCAGATGAGTAGGTGCAAGCCCTCTGCCAGATGAGGGAGCAGGAAGAGATCGAGTACTGAGACCAGGAGCAGATCTAATCTGGGGAAATGCTGCAACATCCCTCTTGGCAACACAAGGAGACCACTTAATGAAAGCCAGTGTGTGTGTGAATGTTGTGTCTCCTTTGTGCAGCCAACAAGACCTGTTCCGTGTGCTGAAGGCCTACACTCTGTATCGGCCAGAGGAGGGCTACTGCCAGGCCCAGGCGCCAGTTGCTGCAGTCTTGCTGATGAATATGCCTGCAGAGGTAGGTTATAACTTTATCCTGCAGCCGTGTGGAGCCCTCCCTGACTTCTGAACCTCACACCCCCGTCAGGGAGAAAGGAAGCTTGAGTTTCCTTCTCAGTGGTGGTTGGAGATGGTGTACTCTCGTTCAGGCCCCATCCCCTTGGGAGAGGTTTCCTACCCGTTATGGTCACAGTCTGGGCTTATTCTTGTTTACATTTTCTGAAATGCAGCAATGTGCTGGAGGGCTGCCACAAGTGAACAGGGCTCATTTGTAGAGCACATGCAGAAAGTCCCAGATTAAGTCCAGTGTCTCTTGTTAAAAGATCTCTACTAGCAGGGCTGGAATGAGCTCATGCACAAGACCCCAGGGAACCGCAGCCAGTCAGAATAGATAGAACTGAATTAGATGCACCTTTGGTCTTATTTGGTATAAGGCAGCTTCATACATGTATGCCACTCTTTCTTGATGGAAGAAAAGCAGGATATAAAAGTGAAAATTTCCCCCCAAGTATTGGAATCCAGGTGTAAGCTGCACAGAAAGGACCAAGGTTGTAGTGGGAGTTGGAAAGATCCAGTCATGCACTTTTTCCAATATGATTGTTCCCATCTGTGCTTAAGTTGAAGCCCTTCTTGGTAGGTTTGTCTATGAGCTGTTTGTTTCTCAGTCCTTCACTTAAACTGCCTGCTCCTGAGTGCTGTGATCTTGTTCCTCAGTCAGCGCAGTCCTTGTGCCCCCTTTATCTGGGTGCTGTCCTCAGAGGGTGTCTGAACTGCATACCAGCAACCCTGGCCCTGGACTTGACCAGTAGCTGTTTTTATGCTCTGAGCGGAGTTCTTAAAGAACTTAGCAATGGGCAGCATATCTGGTGCACAGACAGTCCTTCAGAGCAAGCTGAAGTGGTTCCCTGTGCATTTCTTATGTTCCTGGGAGTGGTTAAATTAGCGCCAGCTGTGTGTAGAGCCAGTTTTGCATAACTTCCCAGTGTATGTGTGAACATATGTGACAGTGTTGAAGTTTCATGCTGTTGCCTGATTGGAAGTATGTTTTGTGTAAGAAAACTGAAACAACTATAATGCCTCTGAAGAATTGCATAGAAGGAAAAATTCCATCTGTTGCAGCTTTCACTATTACAGTGATGGGAAGAAATAGGGGTTTGCATTTTGTTCCTGTTTACTGAGATTTCAGTGCACCAAGTTCTTGGAACTGCAGTACTTCTCAGCATCAGACCCAAACTGGACAGGCAGCGGGAAGAATCATTATGGGCCATTTTGATCCCAATGATTAGAGCAATTTTTGTGAGAGGGTCTGCATTTCTTCCTTTTTCCTGGAAGGAGGAATTGGTCTGCTCAACAATCTCCGTAAATGCACAATCCAAGCCATGCTGCTCTGTTCAGTTCTTTCCCATGCAGTGACTTCCACCTTTTCTTCCTCCTTCCAGCAAGCTTTCTGGTGCCTTGTCCAAATCTGTGAGAAGTACCTTCCTGGCTACTACAGTGAGAAGTTGGTGAGTGACAGGCACTCATGGATTTTGTCATAGGGGCTGTTTATTTTCTTTTAGGATAGGCAGCAAAGACGCTTCCTCTGTCTCTGTAGGCTGGGAATGAAACTCTCTGGATGATGGACCTTTTATAACTGGCATTTACAGAGAGACCTTGGAGTTGTGAGGCCTCCAAGTCCTGATTCAAAATGTTATTTATTTACAAAATGTGCATCCTGACTTTCTGCCCTTACAAGGGCCACCAAGGTGGCATAACAATTTAAAACATACATGATAAAATTACATTTTATACTGATTAAAATCAACCCTCCCCAACACACATCATTAAAACAATTGAAAAACAGAGTTAAAATACAAACAGAGAAGGCACAGTTTGGCTGTAGCTGCTTTAGGGAAGGACAGCCACCGAGACATGCATTGTGAAGTGGGGAAATTGTACCAATTATCCAAGCTCAACCATGTGCTTCATGAAAACTGTTTTTTTATTCTACCTCCGAGATAAACAGATTTTAGTCTGTGATTTATTTTTATTGAAATCTCTGTCATCCACTGATATGTGTAAAATTTGCAAAGCCAACAGTGAAGACATAAATTAATCCAGAATCTCCACTTCTGCTTAAGAATATTTGGCCTGCTCAGTTAGATCTTTATTTCTGGTTGTCAGGCCGAGAATAGAATCATAGAGTTGGAAGGGACTTCCATGGTCATCTATTCCAACCCTCTGCACAGTGCAGGAAATTCACAACTACCTCCCTCCGCACTGCCAGCGACCCCTGCTCCATGCAAGCAAAAAAATCTCCAGGATCCCTGGCCAAATTGGCCTGGAGAAAATTGCTTCCTGAACCCAAAGTGGCAATCAGCATTTCCCTGGGCATGTGAGAGAGGGCCATGAGAACTAAGCACTGTTGTAACCCTTCCTCTCATGATCTGCCTAAGTTCACAGAATCAGCATTGCTGTCAGATAGCCATCTAGCCTCTGCTTAAAAACCTCCAAAGAATGGAGAGCCCACCACTTCCCGAGGACTGAATGATCACGAACAAAGTAAACTCACTATTCTCCCTGGTTTAACTGGGTGGAGGATGGAGTGATCCTTCTGTTTCAAGCACATTTCTTCAGTAATGAGGGCAAAAGAGCCTCAGTTCGTACAGGAGCCTATGGACCTGACAAAAAGCCCCCCTGGTGATTAGCAGCTTCACCAGTTGCTTAAGCCCACCTACCCATCCCTGTTTGGTGTTGCCTGCCAGCCTGCTCAGTCCCCTCTAATGCTTCAGAGTCTGAGCCGTGTGCCCTTGGAGGGATGGTGACAAGTATGGTGGGTGAAACTGGGAGAAAGAGGGCACTCTCCACAGTTGACTGTAGCAGCCAGAGCTGGTATCAAGAACTGGAATAGTGATGCACCTGCTGAGGCCTACAGCTTGGCGTTGCCACGTCGATCTCTAGTGATGATAAATGCCTGTCCGCAGTGGAGGAAGCAGACCAAGAGGACTGCAAGCTCCACTGACTTTTCTGGTCATACTGTCCCGTCCGTCTCCCTGGAAATGAGTTTCCTTCTCCACCTCCAAGCCCCTACAACATTTCTGGAGTCTCTGGGGTAATCTCCTTTTGGGAAGAGTGTTGGAGGGAGCAAAGCCCTGGCTTGTTTCTTTTATACTCAGAGCCAAACTACACATTGCATGTTGTAATGAGTCAGGTTTGGTCAGTATTAGAAATCCAAATTGTGCCATCTTGAGTACGGAATTATAATACACAATGGAGAAAAAAATCTTACTTCCTGCTTTGTGATGTGAATAGCAGAGAGAACTCTGCCTCGATAAAGGCAAGAGGTGAAGGGAATTCCTTCCCTGAACAGAGCTTGCAAACCAGAAAGTCCTTGCTGCTCCCCCACCCCCGCACCTGACCAGGTTGTTTCCCTCTCTCCATACAGGAGGCAATCCAGCTGGATGGGGAAATCCTCTTCTCACTGCTGCACAGGGTCTCGCCTGTGGCTTATAAACACCTCAGCAAGCAGAAGATTGATCCCATCCTGTACATGACAGAATGGTTCATGTGTGCATTCTCCAGGACCTTGCCATGGAGCTCTGTGTTGCGTGTCTGGGATATGTTTTTCTGTGAAGGTACGGGCTGCCCCTTCTGCCTGGCTCAAGCAAGTGTTGCTTAGTGGCTGTGAACAGATGGCTATGAGTGAAGAAGTCTACACAGGCTTCATCTGGAGGTCCCAACAGGCAAGGTGTTATCCCCTAAAGGTGGTTCCAGTCCCATGATGGCTGACTCAGGCCACTTGTGGTTTTGTGCTCCTCCTGTCCTTGGTCTGACTTCAGCCCCCATGGAAGTATGGGAAATAGATGATACTCTCAGAGAAAGGTTGCCTTTGCCGTATGGAACCGCTACAAACTCTTTGGGGACCTGATAAGTGGGGAGGGCAATGCCACGATCAGGGCCCACCTGCCAGCTTCTTTAGCTCAGTCCTTCAGATAGTTTAAGTCCTCTGGCAGAGCTGGCCCGATTCATGTTTCTTTTTTCCCTGCTTGAGAGGAAAAGGCATCTGCTCTCCATGTGGGTGGCCGGCTTCTGCGTCCTCTGGCTGGATGGAGGGGAGAGAAAGCACAAGGGGGAAGCTTCATTGCTTCCCAGGAGCCCTGTGCAGGAAGGGAGGCAGAGCGTCTTCTGTCAAGGGCCCAGAAGCTCTGGCGTTCCTGCCCCTGAAAGTGAGAGGGGCTGGCAATTCTCCCCCCGCCCCCATTTTTCTTTCCCCCTGCTTTCATGACTGAGCCAGCGCAGCTGCAGAGACATCCCAGGTGCCCCTTCTGTGACTCTTCTGTATGTTAAACCTTTATCCTTGTGAAATAGGGTAGGCTGAGAGCCTTCCTATTGGGAACGCTGGAATCCTTCTCTACTTAGCTTACAGAACGAAAAACTGTTTGGTAGGTCATACAAGCACTGAGGCCCTTGTGACCAGTGTTTCCTCTAAGCTGAGCTAGTGTGAGCTAGCTCACAGTTTTTTAGCCTCCGGCTCACAGATTTTTGTCTTAGCTCTGGAAGGACGGCTCCAGAGCAAAATAATTTATGCAGCAGCCAAACTGCTTGCTCGCAACTTTAATGCTAGTAGCTCACAAACTACAACTTTTGCTCACAAGACTCCACAGCATAGAGGGAGCATTGTTTGTGACAGCAGATGTTGGACATTCTGCTGCTGAGGCAGAACTTCCTCCTCCATTTTGGGCTTGGGAGATCCATTCATGCCTAAAGGCTGCCACCTGCTGGCAAGCAGCATATCCTGTCCCCTACCCTGGGATGTTATACCCCTTCACGATATCACTATAAGTGTGTGTGAGTGTGTGCCTGGCCCAAGGTCTCCCTGCAAACTTCCATGGCAGAGTGAGGATTCAAGTCTGGGTCCCCCAGATACCAGTCTGCTGCTGTAACCACTACATTTCAAGGTCACAGGTCTTATTTTTGTTTTCCTCACAGCCATGTGAAACAGAGTAGGTTGAGAGAATGTACTGGCTCAAGATCACTTCTGATGAGTTTTGTTGCTGAGCAACAACGTAACCCAGGTCTCTGAGCAGAAACTGCAACGCCCTGTCGATTAGACCACAATAGTTATCTTAACTGCAAATATACGACTCTTGTATGGGCGTCTTCAGAGATGAAGAGAGATGCATTTTACAGTAATTCTGGGTATGTGGAGCTCTCTGCCATTCATCAAAATGTCTTCTCTTGCTTATGGGGCTTTGTCCCTACAGGCACTGACCAATTCCCAGCATATCAGCACTTTCAGGCCATTCTGTGCCAAGCGTCGGTGGGTAGAAGGGTTGTCTGTGACTCAGGGAAAGATGTACTGTTTAATTAGTTGGGTTATTACAAAACTTTACATCACTGCGGGTAAATAAAACTAAAAGAACTGCACCCGAAGTTAAAACATAAACTGTAAAGTGTGTGCAGGCATGCCATGGTGCCTGCTGTATTACAACACTGGCTGTGTAATACATTCTGATGAGTTTCTGTGTATGTCCAGTGAGTCTTACAGTCCCAAAGGTAAAGTTAATTTCCTTGGAGAAATACATTTTAATGAAATCATAATTGGCCAGACTGTCCCACAACAATTGACGTTTCCCAAGTCCATTATTAATATTGTAATATTTATAAATGTCGCCCTGGTTGAGAATCAGTCTCAGGCCTGGCTAACTTGCAACTTGTCTCCTGCTGTGCACTGCCTCCGCTCTGCACCCTGCCACCTTTGCTCTTCCAGGGGTTAAGATCATCTTCCGAGTGGGCCTCGTGCTGCTGAAACATACTCTGGGTTCTTCTGAGGAGCTCAAATCGTGCCAGGGGCAGTATGAGACTGTGGAGCGGCTGCGGGCACTGAACCCCAAGATTATGCAGGAGACCTTCCTTGTCCGAGAGGTAAAATGGGGGTGCAGCAATGGGTCCAACTTGCTACATTCCCTGGCACTCTCTGACCCATGAAGTATGAATGGGGGAGTTGGCTGTTTCCATCAATGTATGTTGCCTTCTTTTAGGGCCCTGCTGCAAGCTTGAATACGGGCTTAATTAGTAATTAAGATTTGGGTGACAGGGCTCCATTTTAATTGGCAAGGTCAAATCTATGACTTTTCAAATTTGGAGCATGCTGACTCTAAACTATTTTGCATCTTGTGTGTTCCCATGTAGTAGGGAAGGAAAAAGCAAGTGTTATTAAAGGCCTTTTCTTCTAATTATGAGGTTTTGGAGGGCTGAAGATCTCTTTTAAAAAACCCATATTGAGGTTTTGGAACAGATACTCAATAATCTTCAAAATATAAGTCTTCTGCCAGAATGTTGCCCCTTGATGATTTGGGGAACTCTCAGGACTTCTGCAAAGTTTCTCTGGTGACTTCCAGCCCCTTTTCTTCTTCCATGCAATGAAGAAAGGTATGGCTAGGGGTTGGGGGGGATGCATCTGCCTTATTATTTGGGAACCTGGATATAGGGCACTGGTATGAGGACTTCCTCCCCAAGCCTCTCCCAAAGTCCAACATCAGCACTTACTCAATTTCTGAAAATGGTTTCAAGAAGTCCAACCAGGAATTGATTTCTCCAGGATTTGCAACATTGCTGGTTTTGTGTTGCTCTTGAACTATATTTCCAAACCTATGATCAGGGGTCATTTCGTAGAAAAAGAGGTGCAGGAGTTCATTAGCATATGCCACACCCCCTGACAAAGGGCAGGCATACAAGCATGCCTGGGTTCCCTGCCTGATCTTCTCAAGATCAGGCAGGGAACCCAGGCATGTTTAAAATGCCTTTCTTTCCCTTCCCCATCTGGGGAAATAAAGACATTTAAATCTCCCCCCCTTCCCTGAGGCTCAGGGGGAAAAGGGAACATATCTGCCCACCTCCCCTTCCTCTCCCCAGCCAACCCACCGTGGCAGGCTGGCTGGAGAAGGCAAGGGCAGGGCTGACAGGCAGACATGCCTGGGTTCCCGGCCCAGTCTTCTACAGGTGCCCCTAGAGAAGATCAGGCAGGGAACCCAGGCATGTTTAAAATGGGGAAGGGAAAGAAAGGCATTTAAATCCTGCCAGGCGGCTGGGGGGGGCTGCCCCTGGGCTCCTTACTGCCGGAGCACTGTCGTGGCGCGCTCAGGCAGGAAATGACCACATAATGTATTTACTAAATAGTTAGAGTGGCATCTCTTTCTTGGAGCAGCTCATATTGGTGTAGAAGAACGCACACTTCCAAGTCAAGCAGAATTCTTCGTCAGGCATATAGTGGACAAGAATTCTGTATCACTTGGAAGCAAGTGGATCAGGCTTCTTTCCCAGTTCTGATACAAGATTCTAGGGTGAGACATTGCCTCCAGCCTCTGGGCAGAGGTTACAGGGCCAGTTCAAATGTATAGACGTCAGAAGGTGGAGTTTTTCCCTGGACCGTATTAGTGCTGCTTGTGTGCTGCCTTATTCCTCACACTAGAAAAGCAGCATGTTGGAGAGTTTGCTGAACCTTTCCCAGCATGCTGTTTTTCTGTCTGAAACGTGTGTTTGAGGGAGCATTCAGACATGCAACCTGATGGGGCTTATTCCAGGGAAAGCTTTACCTTTGGTATTACTGAATGTATGAACTTGCCTAATAACCGAAGAAGTGGAGAGAGAAGAACCATGAAGCACTTGTGCATCTGCTTTTCCTATGACTTGTGAGATTCGAACTGGTATCCAATCATGTTCTTGGTAGTGATCAGAGGCAGAGCTCAGTAGCAGAGTGCATCCATAAAGATCTGTGTTCATTCCCTGGTGTCTCCTCTTAAAGGATCTTGAGTGTCAGGAATTTGGAGAGATCTCTTACCCCGGCCCTTGGAGTAGCTGCCAGCTAGAAGAGAAGGCAGCTTTCTGTGTGCTGAGATTTTAATTTGCTTGGCTGGGTGCAGTGCTTCCCTCTGGTGGGATTGCCATTGCATAACAAGCACACTAAAAGCATTTGGTCAATGTTCACAAGGGCCCTAGTTCTGAATCCAGAGTAATAGTAAACCCTTCCTGGTTGTCTCTGCACTACCAGATGGTCTTGGATTTTGGCTTAATTATTGTGCAAGGTTAACCTATGTTCCCTGGCAGAAGACACAGTGAGGCCCTGCCCTGAGAAGTGTTTTGAAGAATAGCTTATGAATCTGCAAAGCTGCCATGCACAGGGTCAGGCCATTGGTGCATCTAGATCAATACTGTTGCCTTGGGTTGGCAGTGGCTCTACAGGACCTCAGGCAGAGAAGGGTCTTTCCCATTACTTGCTATTTTAATTCTTTCAGCTGGAGATGCCAGAGCATTAACCTGAAACTTTCTGCACACCAAAGTACTTGGGTGGTTTTAATCCCCTTCATCCTTTAAAGCACTCTTGTGAAATTCCAAATGGCTGCCATCTAAATTCCCAGTGTATAGTGCTGCCACCTTGTGCATTGTACACAGAAAGCACCGCATGAGTCAGGAGTGGACTTCTGCCAATCTAGCTATTTAGTGTGCAGAACTTCTGCGATGGGGGGAGGGGTTACAAAATTCCACAATATCAATTGTGACAGGCGCAAGTGACCTTTGTAGCATCTCATGAAGAACATTTAGCAGTCTGTCTCGACATATGGTTGTGCCACTCATGAAAAAACCAACCTTAGATCCTGTGGATCCTTCCAGTTATGGCCCAGTTTTGAATCTTTCATTTCTGGGTAAGGTAATTGAAAGAGCGGCAGCAGAACAGCTCCAGAAATTCCTGGATGACACATCAGCATTGGACCCATTTCAGTCCAGTTTCTGCCCCGGGACGGAGACAGCTTTGGATACCCTGATAGACTATCTCTGTAGGCAGTTGGATTGAGGCAGGTCAGTGCTGCTGTTATTGCTTGATCTTACAGCAGCGTTTGACATGGCCGACCACAGTCTTTTGACCCACTGCCTTGCCAACATAGGAGTCTGTAGGGTAGCCTTACAGTGACTTAACTCGTTTCTCCGAGGTTGGGGACAGAGGGTGGTGCTCAGCGAGAGGATGTCAACTAGGCACCCACTGATATGTGGGGTTCTTCGGGGGGCAGTCCTCTCCCTGATGTTATTTAACATCTGCATGTGCCCCTCACCCAACTAGTTTGGAGTTTTGGGACGGGATGTCACCAGTACACTGATGACACCCAGCTATACCTGTTGATGGGCGGCCAACCAGATACTGCTCCTGCGAATTTGGCTGAGGGTTTGGAGGCCATGGTGAGATGGTTAGGGCAGAGTCGGTTGAGACTGAATCCTGATAAGATGGCAGTTCCAGGCTAGCTGGGGGGGACATGGGTCTGGGAGGCTGATTCCCGACTCTTGGTGGTGTACCTTTATTACTGCTGCCGACTGTCAAGAGCCTGGGTGTGATTCTGGATATCTCCTTGTCAATGGAGGCCCAGCTCACAAATGTTGCCACACTGGCAATTTTCCAGCTGCACCAAGTCAGGCAACTGGCCCCTTACCCGTCTCACCCTGATCCCATGCAGTGGTCACCTCCAGGCTTGACTACTGTAACTTGCTGTATGTGGGGCTGCCTTTGAGGCTGACCTGGAAACTTCAGCTGATCCAAAACATGGCTGTGTGGGTCCTCACTGGGACCCCCCCCCTGGTATGGCACATATCCAGCCTGTGCTGTGCAAGCTGCACTGGCTTCCAGTACAGTACCGGATCAAGTTCAAGGTTCTGGTGTTAACTTTTAAAGCCCTTAATGGCCTGGGACCCACGTACCTTCAGGACGGCCTCTCCTGGTACACCCCTAGAAGAGCTTTACGCTCAGGAAATAAGAACTTCCTGGTGGTCCCCAGCCGGCTGTCCTCAACTAGGGCCAGGGCTTTTTCTGCCCTGGCCTCTACCTGGTGGAACTCTCTGGCAAATAACATCTGCGCCCTGCAGGACTTGTTGCTGTTCCGCAGGGCATGGAAGGCAGAAATGTTCCGCCAGACATTCGGTTGAGGACAGTGATGGTCTTTCATCTAGTCTGGCACTCCTCTTCTTCATTTCCCTGCCTCCCTCCTGTATGAGGCAATGACACTCCAGGAATTATCGCCACCAGATTGGCTTAGGCTGCTGTAAATTGTATTTTATATATTATTTTAACCTTGAAACCTTTTGTAAGATTTGTAATTTTATCACTGTTGTATGCCACCCGGAGCAATGTCTCTCGTGGGCGGTTGGCTTAAAAGTAGATGAGGATGATGAGTGAGATGCCTTAGACTAAGTGATTCATGTGAACAAAGGTCAGCTTACGGTGTATCTGTGACCTCTGTGACCTCCAGGGAGGGAGTGATCATAGTATGAAGGTTAGTTCACCTGCGCCTGCCTTATGTGCTGTTCATAGATGAGCAAAAAATACCCAGAATCCTGTTTGGTTTCACTTCCACCAGAGAAGAGGTTTTATCTTGATGGTGGATAGAGTTCCTGGGGAGGAGGGTGGAGAAGCACTGCTCATTTGTGCTTATTAAGGAGCTGCGGTGGCTCAAGTGGTTAAGACGCTGAACTGCAGGCTGTGGAAGGTCGGTAGTTCAGCAGTTCGAGACCTAGGGTGCCACATGACGGAGTGAGCTCCCATCTCTAGTTCCAGCTCCTGCCAACCTAGCAGTTTGAAAGCAAGAAATTGCAAGTAGATAAATAGGGACCACTTTGGTGGGAAGGTAACAGCGTTCCACGCGCCTTGGTGTTTAGTCATGCCGGCCACATGACCACGGAAGCGTCTTCGGACAGCGCTGGCGCTTTGGCTTTGAAACGGAGATGAGCACCGCAACCCTAGAGTCGGACTCGACTGGCTTTCGAGCAAGGGAACCTTTACCTTTACCTTTACATGCTTATTAAAAGATGGGCCATCGGGGTGGGTAGATACAGAAGGAATGGGGGCACAGTTTAACAGTCAGTCTTGAAGGACACTTTCAGATATTGTTTAAATGGTTGTAAGCTGCAAGGAGGGGACCAGTATCTACACTGGGGCAATGATTTCCAGGGAAAGAGAGGCATGATATGTATGAAATAACCCCCCCAGTTTAGCAAAGAAGAAAGTATTAGTAAAATGGATGGGGGGGGGAGTAAAAAGGGGAGAGGTCAGTGGGGTCAGAGCACAAAAATCTACATAAGGGCAGAACAGAAACAAATTGGATCTGATAAGGACATTGAAGCCAGTGGAGAGAATATAAATATGAGCAAAACAAGATGCAGAGAGGGAGGGGGGGAAAGAGCTAAAAATGGAGGAAAATGATGGAAGCTGGCCACAGAGAATTACAATAGTCAAGCTGGAAAAAGGTAAAAGAGTAACTTGGCATATTTGTGGCAGATAAATAACTAAAGGTTAAAAGGGGCAAGTTTTTGGCAATAGCTTGAATAAAAGAAGTAAATAAAAAGGAGTTGGAAGACACCCAAAGTTCTGTAGTTGAGAGAAAGGAAACCGGAGTAGAATTACCTGGGATTAGTGGGAAAAGACGGTACTGATGCAGGAAAAAGGAAAGAGTTTCTTGGTTCTGTGTAATACAAATGGGAGGCATCCAGTCTGAAATAACTGAGGTTGACAGAAAATACTAGAAAGCCGAAGTGGTGGGGAGGAGCACAATTCACAAAAACAAGCTCAGAAGTAGCAATTTGAACACTTCTTAGTCAGAGTAGGAGTCAAAGCACGTTGTTTTCAAATGAAAGTGGATATGGGTGTCTTGATTGGGCTTTTGGGCAAAAGCTGAACCAGTCAGTTTTGGGGGAAGTGGGGTGGAGGAAGAAAAAATGCCCTTAAGTTTGAGGATATGGATATCCTGGCCACATTATGGTATACCTTGATTTGGAGTTCCTTAGGAGAGAAGTACATTGGTGTTTTTTCACTCCTACTTTCAGATCATAGAGCTGCCCGTGACAGAGCGCCACATTGAGCGGGAGCACCTGATCCAGCTGAAGAAATGGAAGGAGACCCATGGGGAGCTGCAGTGCAAATCCCCTCCGCGTTTCCATGGCGCCAAAGCCATCAGTGACTCTGAGCCTTACCCTCGCAAGGCCTTGGAGCCCTCTCCCTCTATCATCCTCCCACCTGACTCAGCGCTCCCGCCCAAGGGCCGCAAGAACAAATTGCCAAAGGGAGACAAGAAACAGGACCAAGGAAAGGGCCACCTGGCCAATGGGCCCATCCCTGAAGAGAACGGAACTCAGAGTTTGCTGGAGCCAGAGCCCCCCTCCCTCCAGCAGTCAAAGGAGAGCCTCAGTTCACAGGAGAGTGAGGACACCTACCTGTAGACATGACGGCTGCACATTCCAGACCTCCCAGCTTGGTCCGAAGCGGCTAGGTCTACGTGGCCCCTGCAGCCAGACTCCTCAGCCAAGGTAGTGGGTGGGTGACTGGGAAGTCGGGGGCAGCTAGTGCCTTGGGGATACTTGGGATAAGGTAAGCTAAGGGCTCTTTTCCACGAGTCTTAATGTTATGCAACTTGCACCACCCCAGTGGCCAACAGGCAGTAGCCAAATATGCTTTTAGTATCTCATTAGGAAGAGAGATACTTGCAGCTGCCCCCTGCTGTCGAGTTCTTCGCTGGTGGGAGTCCAGGGCTTGACTGGCAATGAATCATCCAGATACAGAACACAGTTTTGCCATATGCCTACCCACCACAGTCTGAATGGCGAGAGTATTGATGCACATTCCACAAGGAATTCTGGGGAATTGGCAGAGGTCGAATCGCTGGCCACATCCTCTAATGCAGGTCTGCTTCTCAGTGGATAGGCCACACCCATTCCTTGACCTCTTGGCAAGTTTGCCATTGAAGGTTTCTTTATTAAAGCAATCGAGGCTGCTGAAGCTCTCTCGTTGTTGCATTCCTGTCCCCAGACATAGGGTAGCAGTGCTGCTCTGTTGCCGTGGTTACCCTTCTGGTACCACCCAGGTGAGATTCCCTCCTAGCTCTTGTTCTTCCATTTTAGATTCTCCAGGTGAGCCAGTAACACCATTCCTTCATCTTACTGGAGGCTTGATGTTTTGTATTCCTTGCTGTTAGTTGCACTGGGAATCCATTAAGCCTGGAGGACCCCTCATTTCCTCAGCTGCTTGGGCATTTCTGCCCTATACATAGGAACATTCCGGCTGTTTGACATCCTTTTTTCCCCCTTTCGCTGAAATTACCAGTTAAGATCCTTGTCTCTTAGACAAGCAGCCAGCTGATTCTTTTCAGCTGACAGCGGGGTTGATGAAAGGGCAGGGAACCGATTAGTGGCACAGCCGTCTGGCCTTGCTCTCTTGCCTGAAATCTCAAGGGAGCTGTGCTGTATTAGACTTCACATGCTGGATCCACCTGCCCCTGTTTCCTTTGTAGAAATCATTGTTGCAGGAATCTGATATGTGCACCTCATTACAGGTGATTTTGAATCAGAGCAAGGCATACTTGAGGTACGCCTTGGCTCGAACTGTATGTATGTTAGGCTTCGACTCTACATCCGGTGCTATGATTTTTTCAGGAATAGGACAGCCCATTTATAGGACACTAAAGTAGCTTCCTTTGCCCACCCATTGCTGGATGCTGCTCCCCTAGTCTTCAGAAGGTAGCAACAGTATTAAGTTGGCCTCCTTCTCCCTGTCCCCTCAAATCATGTCCTTGATAAATGTAAACCCAAATCCCGACAGGCTGGAGGGAAAAGACATCCCCGGTGGCAGCTTGTGAAGCTGTGCTTGTGTCTGAAGCTGCAGGCTGCTGCTGAAGGTAAAGCTTTGCTGCAATCCACCTTCCCTCTAGCTCACCGCAGGCTCAGCCTGGGATTCCCTGTTTTTGTGACGGAAGTCGTGACCAACTTTTACACCCCAGATATGGTGAGCAAAGTCCTTGGGATCCTGAGGAATATTAAGGAAATTCAGGAAGATTGGTTCTCTCCCTCGCTGGCCCCTGTTTATAGTTGGAACGAATATCCAGAACTGGGATCAGGGTGGGGCACAGTATTGCTTGCTGTGGCCATTTCTGCGGGCTGCAATCTGACACGGGGGTGGGGGTGGTGGAAGGAGGCAGGAGACTGTTCTTTCTCCACCTGTTGCCAGGTTATGACTGACAGGTGGTCTCTGTGTTTGGGTTCTTTTTTAAATAAAAAATCAATAGCTGTAATAGTTTTGTACAAAAGGCAAAATAAACCAGAATTATGTAAGTGGTGTGTGGTTTATGAACAGCATGTCTGAATCGTATGCCTTGAAGGGTTTGGACTGTCTTTCCAGGAAGGAGGCAGGCACTGGGTGAACCCTGGATAGCCTAACCTGTGCATTTTGACCTCTTACAATTCGGTGGTCGAAACAGTGCTTTTTGTGGCATCTTCTCCCTGTATCTACTTCACTGTCCACCATGAAGATTTCCTAATAATCTGTGTATCACTTCTAACTTCTATCAGCATGTTTCTCTTTGGAGCATCTCTGGGAAGAAGATCACTAACTTGCTGCTTTGGAAATATAGAACTATGCTGTGCATTTGCTATGGCTTTGGTCGCAAGGTAGAGCAACCCTGTGGTTCTTATGTCTATGAATCTGCACAGCCATGAGGTGCATGCAGAAGTTAGTTTCTGCAAGACCGCAGATTGTTGTCCTTGTCTGTGGACAGAATGCAGCCTCTCAAGCAGCTTAGCCTGGCCTCCAGTGGCCTTGCTGAATTTTACTTCAGGTCCCCCCAGTGCTTTAGCCGCCTCTGCATTCAGAGACTTAGACCCTGACATATTAAGCTAGCCTGTTGGTCCACCAGGCCCAGTTTTATTGACTCTCGACGGGAAAAGTGTCTCCGGCCCACCCTAGGTGAGATGCTATGAGATCAGTGAATAGATCTCTTGAATATTTTGCTGTCCACGTATTTCAGTCCTGCACATCTGTCCTCCTCAGCCGGCATTCACACAAGGAGACGGCCCTTCTCCCAAACCTTCTGGTGGGTGGGTGTGATCTCCCTCTCCAGTCCTGTCCCAGAACTAACTTATAGAGCTCCCAGTCTTTCTCCTCGCCCCGTAGCTCATTTCTGTCGAGTCCCAGTCTTTCTCATTTGCTGGGCATTGAATCTCCTCGCCCCGTAGCTCATTTCTGTCGAGGTTCTCAGTGTCGGTTCTACAAGTCTGGTAACAGCTTGCTCAAGAAAAAGCCAAGGTGGCCCTGTGACAAATGACTTCTTTAAAATAACCTTGCAAAACCTTTGCAAGGGGCCGTTGAAGTTATTTGCAGTGCAAGTCCTGAGCAATGGCACTGCCGAGGAATTGGCCGTTTTTCAGTATGTATTCATAGCCTGCCACCTGGTTCAGTTGGGCCCTTAGGGCAATAAAAATTAAAGCAGTAACAACTTATCAACTCAAATAACACTTTACTAAAGCAGAACTGCAACAGTACAATAAGAAACTGGCCATGTTAAAATCATTTGCCTCTTTCCTCCAGGCTGCTTAAACAAGGCCTGCCTGTCACGGGTAATCTCCCCAGCTTTCTTTTATCGCTCTGGGCAGGCTGAGAGATTGTCCTCGCTGACACGAGAGGGAGGCTGTGGCTGGCTCCCGCCTTAAGGAGATGTTTCCAGGCCGGAAATTTTTAACTGTATGTAAAGTTAAAGAGACTTTTCTCCCCCATGAGGACCCGTATTGGCTTACAACATTCTCCCCTCCCATCTTATCCTCAGAATAACCCTATGAGGTAAATTAGGTTGAGAGTGAGTGACCGCCCCAGGGTCACCCAAGCAAGCTTCCATGGCAGAGGGGATTTGAACCTGGGTCTCTCCGATCCTAGTCTGACACCGCTACACCGTGCTAGGCTTGTGCCAACATGGCTAGCTTACAGCGGCCATAGAGCTAAGCCGTGTTGGGGGCACCGCAGCAGCTGACATCTTCCTTAGGGGAAAAGACGGGGGGAAGATTCATGTAACAGTTTAGAAAGTTATAAGCACTGTGGGCTAAGCGGGAAAGCACCCCTGAGTAAAAAATGTGTAAGGATACCCACTGATGTAAAAAATGTGTAAGGATACCCCCTGAGTAAAAAATATGTAAGGATACCCACTGTATCAGCAAAACAAGAGTCCTGTGGCAGAATTCCTGATGGGTAACTGTTAACCTGTATCAGCAAAACAAGAGTCCTGTGGCACCTTGAAGACAAAGAGTTGGTTTTATACCCCACCCTTCACTGCCCAAAGCAGTAGTCGAGCGGCTTACAATCGCCTCCCTTCCTCTCCCTACAACAGACACCCTGTGAGGTAGGTGGGGCTGAGAGAGCTCTGAGAGAACTGTGACTGACCCAAGGTCACCTAGCTGGCTTCATGTGGAGGAGGAGTGGGGAATCAAACCTGGGCCTCCAGATTAAAGTCCACCGTTCTTAACCACTACATCAAGCTGGCTCTCAACCAAAAATTTATTTACCTAGGGATTTCCCCTTGCAAGGAACCTGGAAGCCCTTGTGTTGAAGGGGGAGTGTCTGTCCACATGATCTCATGCTCATTCTGAGTAGGTCTCATGGTGTTTCCAGGGCTTTTGCCTTTCAACCAGGCTACAGCTAAACCTGTTTTAAGCATCAGTCTGTGGAGTCGCTGTGAAGGCATGTCTGTGGACAGTTCTTCTTTTGCCACTATGGTGGTAGAGGGTGGAGCTAAATTCTGCTTTCAAAGTGTCACACTAACATCTAGATAGAATAGGAGGGAGGAGAAAACCCATTGAGCCCTACACAAATACCGTCAATTGTGCAGATAAACTCTAGTTCAGCAATTTCAACAGGAGCCTCCGAAGTTTTTTGTTACAGAATGATGATGCCATCAATTTCAACAGGAGCCTCCGAAGTTTTTTGTTACAGAATGATGATCCCATCAGTGCCAGAAAAATCTTTTGAGATAGAAAGGTTCTCCCAGTGTTTTCAGAATGCTCTTGTTTCTCAGTATATTTGTATCCATTTGTGCTTTTCCACAGACTGTTCCATGCAATCTTTAAAGCGTTTCCATCAGGCATCCTTAAGGCTAGAGCACCACTCGTTTAAGTGAGGGAAGAGATACGAAACTCCCAGGGCACAAAAGGGCCACTGGCAACCACTCCACTGTTTTATCCTGGACAACAGTTCCTCTCTTTCCCAGGATCTTGAGTAGCTCCTGGTTTATAGAAATCCCCTTAATCGAATCAAATAAAGTTGCTGAACTGGAATTCATCTGCAGATTTGACAGTGCTGGTTTAGCCTCAACAGTTACAAGGGCCACCCTCTACATGACAAAACAGAAGGCTGATGGCACCTTAAAGACCAAGGTGTGCCGCTGGACTTCTGTTTTGTTTTGTTGCAGTAGGCTGCCTCTAGATGGCAATTCTCCGCATAGCTCTCCTTGCCAATGGAGAGGCATTCACAGCGGCAACGGAGTGCCCACAGGGTGGTTTTCTGTGCACTTACCTTGCCAAAGTGTCCCCCATGGATGCCATCCCCTCCAACACCTTGGGGTATTTTTTTTTTGGGGGGGGCTTCTTAAATAAAAATGGTAATTGCTATAATGATATAACAATTCTATTGCTTTTTTGAAGCCCCCCAGGCACTCTGGTTGTCTATGGAAGGCTGACACAATGGAAATGGTGGCAGTTACAAAAATGTGCATCTTCCGGTTCTCATGGTGTACAAACACACTTTGCATTCTTTCCTGAAAGATTTCACCAAACCTGGTTGAGGAAAGGTCACTCCAAAGCAGGATGGAAGAATGCTGCCACGCAGATTCTCCCCACCATTGCGCTCCAGTGTGGAATCCAAGGGAAAGCAAAACATCCCTAGAGAAGCAATCAGGGAGCGGCTGGCTCAGTACAGAAAGTCATTTCTTTAAGCGTTCACATGTGTTTATCTGCCTTGCTCTGCCAATTGGGAGTGGGTCACACCTAT